CGCCAGATTTGTGTCGTGATGTTGCGAATTGATGTGCTCTTCTACAATAGGAAATAGAGAACGACCAACGAGTTTGGCCACAATTTCGAGAGATAGCTCTTTCTCTGAATTGTTTTCCTGTGCATTATGCTATGATTTCGCAGATTATTTTCAGCAATACTACAAATGGAGTAAACTTCATTAGAAATTTTCAGCAACACTACAAATGGACTAAACTTCATTAGAAACATAAATTAGTTAGTTTTCGTTAGTTTTATTTGTGATTAAGTCTAATTTTTTCAATTAATTGAGAAGCACAGACCACCTAGCCTACGAGACATGTAAAGAAAGGCGACAAATTTCTGTACTTCATCTGCTCAACCAGAGTCTATACAGTTGAACACGAACGCTACGCTGTTTAGTAGTGACCAGATAACAGACCTGTGCACTGCGTCCTTAGCACTACAATTTTTTAAAATTAAAACAGTAAAACATGCCCACTTGCGCAGTAAAGTGGTGTGATAGTGATAGCAGGAAACGTAATTTCAAGAAGAATAAAGTCACGTTTCACCGATAAATGCATCATTTAATAATCTTAAAATACTAAAACCGTGAGGGTTCAACGTGTTCTGATCATAGTTCTGAGGCTGTCCTTGTCAAGCACGCAGTATTATAGTTGCGTCTCTGTCTATCAATCAGAGGGGCTGCCGGCGGCACGTGTAAGTAGAAATGCCCAAAAAAGTATCGATGCAAGTTTATCGACTATTTATTGTGTTATTATTTTTTGTGTAGACGAACAGTCATACTATTATATTTGTGTATATTAATCTATATGTAATTATAATTTGAAATCCAAATTACAGTTTTACAAACCCTAATTAATCAAAAAATAAAAATAATTTTTGTATACGTTTTTATATTATGTTAATTTTACCTAATGAAGATATTTTCACCTGACCGTCGCGGCCGAGGCCGAAATAAAGTCATATTTTTCGAGAGTATGTATTATGTTTGTGTATTTCTTAGGCACATTCCGCTCTTAACGGATTTATGGTAAGCGATTAGCGTTGTAAGTGTTTACGCGTACGATTTATAGATGTGACACATCTCTAAGTTACATCTCACGCGCCACCCGCACACCTTACTTTCTTCTAACCTTGACAGACTAATTTAATTAAAAAATCGTAATGGTTTCATGTCTCGTAGGCTGGGTGGTCTGTGTTGAGCAGCAACAGTCGGACCATACGAAAATCTAAAAACGAATACGTTTAAATTGGCAATAATATTCACGTTATTATCAACTTCACTTCATTAAAACAAAATAAATATTTTTGTGCTATTTTGACTAAACGTTAACTATTGCCTTTGCCATAATTTAATACGCCACTGTTGGCTAGTGGCAAAACGTATCGTCTTTTTAAGATATGTTGAAGATATGTAAATCAGTATTAGAATTTAAAAAAAATGTTCGTAGGGTATTTATCCTAAAACACATACTATAAAAAAAGATAAAAATAACTGCACATTAACAAAACAAAATAAAATTTTCTTGGCAAGTGGGAACCCTAATAGTATTTGGCAATTAAAAATACCTACTCATGCGTGAATATTGTATTATTTGTCAAATAAAAATACAACAATAATAGTCCTATAGTGGCAGTATGTAATTATAATAATAAGAAAATATGGTGTAATATATTTCACTATGCCTAGCAACATTTTCATTATATTGGCGTCTGTCAAATTTAAGATTTATTATTTTGTTTTGATGAATGTTTTTAGTAAAAATATAAGATGCTAGGCAGTAATTACCAGTGAAATGAGATTTTTAGATTTTTTTCATGATTATGTGATAAGTTGTGACACCCTTTTAAAACACAGTAAGTTGTTATTTTGCAAAATGGCGCGAGATCTTTACATGACTACGTAGACTCGAGTACTGAGTACTGACATGCTGAAAGTCGTACTTAGCCTTAAAAGGCTAACTTGAAACTGTTTCACTTTGCGTGCGCCTGCTGCGATTCTAAGCCTAATAATTCTATGATTATATCATACATTTATTGATTGCTTTTGTTTTTCATATTTGTTTCGTTTGATTTGTCGATTGCTTGTAGTTGTTGCTATTATGTACTAGAGAAGCTATTCCAAACAAAAAATGTGCGCTACTCTATGTATGAGTCGTGCATAAATTAAAGTAAAGTAAAGTTACAGCCTATATACGTCCCACTGCTGGGCTCAGGCCTCCCCTCATTTCTGAGAGGGTTTAGGGCAAGGAAGTGTCCACCGCGCTGCCCAAATGCGTGTTGACCAACTTCACATGTCTTCGAAATATTTGTTTTCTTATTCCTCAGACATGCAGGTTTCCTCACGATGTTTTCCTTCACCGCCGAGCACGTGGTAAATCAGCACTTAAAATTGCAATTAACAATTTCATTGGTGCCGGCGGGGATCGAACCCGGGTTACTCGCGTTCTGTTATATTTACAGCGAGCGTTAACCACTGAGCTACCACGGCTCATATCAACTGAGGCGGATTGCACTTGCGCGTTTCTGTCATCAATCATCATAGATTACATGTAAAATTGTTTATTTGGATTGTTTTGTCAATTGTATCCAATACATTTTTTAATTGTCATTTATTTTGCATATGTGCCAATTTAACATAATATTATGTTATAACTACCTACATTCAAACTTTTATTTGAATTCTCGTGTTTTAGCGCCGCTCCGCTTTACATGAATGTCGAAGTCACATTTAAATAACACTAAAGTAAGGTGTACGGATTTCAGTACAGTTCACATAGTGAGTTGAACATAGTGAGTGTTCGGAATGCGCAATCTAGTGCGTAGTAAGATGTTCGACGGTTATTATTATTATTTTTAAATATGTTTTAAATTTAAATTATTATTATTTTTAAAACATATTTAAAAATAATAATATGCACGGATGATTTCTATGTCTCGACAATATCTTGTAATTGTAGTAGGTAACTTTAATCATAATTATCTTTTATTTTCTTTTTGTTGTTGAATTAATTGTATTTGTATAGGTGATTGTGCATAATAATATATTACTTTAAGAGCGTCTACTCGCCGACAAACTGATTGTAGTTTGGATAGAGTATTGTAATAATAATTTACCTATCTCTATATGAATAAATAAATGAAAAAACGTCAAGAGATGACTGTCAAAACTACTTGTCGCATTTTTTATCAAAAATCTCAAGATTTCTACAGCAACGGGATTATGTCACTATAGATAATGGACATAATCCCACATCATTGAAGTAATATTGTACTTGTACGTAGTAAATAATATAGAATATAAAATAGCCCAATGTCCCACATAAAATATTATACATACATAATATAAAATAGCCCAATGTCCCACATAAAAACATTTTCAACAAAAATTTTGCTCGATAACTTGTTACATACAACTTGTAAAAACAAAATGGATAACCTATATTTAATTTTAATTAAAATTTATAAAAAGATGTCTCGAATTTGTATATATAAAATACGAAGAAACTTTTTCCCCGAACTATTAGTAAAGATTTTAAAAATACATTGACGAAGATCCGCATGATAAAATGATGTGTCTTACCGTCTTTACCGTACGTAGTTTGGGGACCGTTTCAAACAAAACTAGGTAACTTTTAATTCATTCTGTCGCCTTTTATGACACCTACGGCACGATGAGGGTGTATATATATATAAAAATAAGAGTGATAGATTGATACTCAGAGAAGCCAAAAAATCAAACAACATTAAAAAAGGGCGTAATATATTTATGTATATTACGCCCTTTTTAATGTTATAATAATTTTTAATGTTTTTAATGTTTGTAATATATATATATATATATATATATATATATATATATATATATATATATATATATATATATATATATATTTGGCTTCTCTGAGTATCAATCTATCACTCTTATTTTTTTCAGTTTTTTTTTAATAATATTTCTCTAGAATAAATGACAATAACAGCTTTATTGCATGTAAAATTATTTAACGACTAAATCATGTATTAGTGCGTTATTCTAAGAAGCTTAACACAAAACACCGGTGAACATCCTTACACTAAATTTCTTAACAAAGGGGCAAAGTAATTAATTTAACCACGTTTTTCATATTAACTTATTAAATCAATAAAATTTAGACACTTAATACGAAGTAATAACAAGAGATTTTATTCCATAAAAGCTATTACGCCTTTCTTCCCGTAAATTTACTGTAACGCCGGCGACGTAATGCCCTGTTACGCTGAACGCCATCCCTTTCACTCCTACATATAAATGATTACCGCTTGCTTTCTAGCACCATGTTTAGGTAAACTATTGATATAAATATATAAATATATAGCTTCTGCAACTTTGGTATTTGGAACATCTCGTCACCATAAGCGCAGATTTAAAGATAATCTTGTCACTCGATATATAGAATGTTATAATGTGTGTGGATCGACAGACCTTACAACATTAAGAGACGCAACGATGCAACAAGCAACAACGGTACTACAAGTAGCAGAAATGTGCGTCCAAACTACACCCCAAGAAGAAAATATACAATACACAATACTGGACACAGTACGCCAAGGTCTCACAATAGACCAAAATATTTTATGCACTACACCGGTCAATAATGATTATTTAAATATTTTGATTTTATAATGTGACAAAACTGCCGTCGAATTTAATGGTTGTAATAATACTATAAATTTATGTGCAGATTTCTTAGTTTAAAACCAATCTACAATGATAGAAAATGTTGACGTCAAATCTAATGACTGCAACCAATCTATAACCACAGAAAATGGTAACATCGAATCTAATGATTGCAACCAACTTACAAAGATAGAAAATTTTCCGTCCGTATCTGATGTACCATCAATCACGAAAGAACTAACTGGAAAAAAGGCAATACGAAGACAATTGGTTCAGAATTAAAACAGAAAAATTCAGGCCAAGCTCATACTGGTAGTAATTCGAAAAAAAAAGTTTGAACAATGGATGACGCCTGTAAATGTAATAAGAAATGCGGTGAAAAGATTTCTCAAGTCTCTCGGCAAGCTATATTCGACAATTTTGGAAACTTAATAATAACGAGGATCAGTGGCAATATATCTTACGCCATGTAAATACTAAAGATATAAAAAATGCAACTAGTAAGAACAAAAACTAGACACAAACTATTAGATATCTTCGAAATTAATGGATCAGAATCAATTGGTATAAAAATTTTAATACACTTAGCATATCCAGCAATAGAGAAAGGGAAATCTGAAGAAGTCAAAGATAACAGGGGGCAAGTATAAAAATCGCTATAATATATTATGATCTGAAAAAAGTTCTGACGATTCCTCAATCAGAGATAGGAATATTTCATTACAAGCAAAAGTATCCTATATAAAACTTTACGATTGTTCATTACGTGGAAGAGGTTACTGCTATCTTTGGCACTATCAAGTGGCCAAAAGGGGTGCTAATGAAATCGACGATTGTGTTTTAAACTTCATTGAAACTGAGAGCCAACGTGGCATCAAGAATTTCATATTTTATTCTCATGGTTGTGCTAGCCAAAATAAAAAGAGGATTATCTTTCCTCTTTATTTATATTTGACCATAAAGTATGGAGTTAACATAATACATAGGTACTTTGAAACTGGCGATAGCCAGTCTGAATGTGCCAGTCAATGCATTCTCTTATCGAACGCGCAAAAAAAGAATCACACGATTTATACTCCTGATCAATGTGTGGCATAATCATGAATGCCAAGATAAATGGTGAAAAATTTCATCTTCAATAAATGGAACAACGTAATTTCTTCGATTTAAAGGAGATAAGGACAAAAGGTACGGATTGCGGGCAGACCAAACTAATGAAAAAGTTCTGTGGACAAAGATTCACAAAATCAAAATTACTCGAACCCATCCAGATGTTATTTATTTGAACTATAACTTTGACGATGAGTATATTTCTTTAAATATTGCATCAAACACCAGATCTTCAAGAGGAAGACCCAAAAAATGCTAGTTACTGATGTTTCAGGAGATGGACTGAGAAATCTCAACAAAGAGCCAATCGCCTGACCAAAACCACTTTAGTATGATTTAATGAGTCTCTGCAAAACTAAAGCAATCCCGATACATTATCACACATTTTAAAACAATTTGCATTATGTTGGAAACTCTGAGGAAGAAATCGATATTGAAAGCGAAGATTCAAAAAGTAGCATAATATTTCTAACTTCCCGCTAAGAAAATTGAAAATTTTCAAAAACAGGGAAATTTCACCCCAATTTTTTTAAAAGTATTGACTACCTTTTTATTTTTGTTTCCAAAGAATAATAGTTAATAACAATTATATGATTTTATCTAAATTAAGGTAGCATAGCAGTTTTTTTCTTTTTTTAAGGGATTGACCGTTTTATTTTTGTTTCCAAAGTTTAATACTCAATAAAAAATATGTTATTTTAAAAGGTTATATATTTATATAAAATAATAATCATTTAAAATTTAATTAAACAAAAATAAGGTAATAACATTAAAAAAAGTGATTAATTTCATAAAATACTGTAATAAAATGATAAAAATTAAACTTAATTACAATGTAAGGTCGGTCTGTTACAATGGTTACATAAAAATTATGTTTCATTTAAGGATTCTAAAATAGCGATAAGTGAATGATACAGCTAAGCTTTGGCTATAAAATTTCCTTGAAGAAGGTGGTAATTGGCTGGTACGCTCGAGAACTAAAGTGGAAATCACGTCGTATTATATTCTTACATTCCTGAATCTACGTGGTCGGTGTGTTTAAAAAGTTGTTAATGATGTTGCAATTGAAATGGTATCGGCTATAATTTGTATTATATATTTGTTCAATTATTTCATTAAACATTTATACCATTACAAGTATTTTTATAAGGTTAAATTGGTAAAAATATTTGCTTTCATTTGACATATTATGGAACGCCTGTTTTGGATCACTGTACGCTGAACTATAAACAAATTAGCTTATATTGTTTCTCCTGTAAAACTTGATTTTTGATATTACCGCTTTATTGCCTGGAGCCAGCAAAGCTGGAGGAAGATATATATATATATATATATATATATATATATATATATATATATATTACTTCCTCCATATATATATATCTCTTTACTGCCTTCCCGGTTGCGTGAATTACGAGTTCCCAGTGCCTACATTTATACAAAACTCCAAGCTCTCTTGGCAAAGTATTGTTTACGACAATAAAGTAACCCTTCTTTAGTGTAGAATTCTCATTCTAATTTTTTTAAACATAAAGGGAAAGTACGTACAAAATGAAATACACGGAACAGGCATCATATTTCAAATTCTGACAATTCTAGCCCACCCTAGACAACTATATCACGTGACTCTAGCGGCTCATACCAATCTGTCAAAACGTGAACTCGCGCCTGTCTTTCGTTCGGGTGTTATAGCCGACGACAAAAATTGGTAAGTTACGAGTTTTTTTTTTTGATTGCAGGGTGTCTTTTGTATTAATATTATATTTTTCTTAGTTTTACCTTGCTTGTACATTTATTACACTCCTTAGGTACTTATTGTTGTATTTGAATATTTTTTCCGACAAAAATATTCATTTTGAATTTATTGTTGAATTTTAATTTTTTATAACGCTATAAGGACAAAATGACATACATAACTAACGGACAAAATGACATAGTACGTCGTTTTGTCCATAAGATCTCAATGAGCTCATTGTGCACTAACGTACTAACGCACTAACGTACGTGTGGGTTCGTAACTGTAAAATTTATATAAGGAAAGACGATAATTCCCCAAAAATTCACATAAAAAACTTTTTAGATTTAAACAAAATTAAATGACTGTGTTACTTCAAGTTACGACTATTGTTGTTTATCTTAAACGGTGTACTCGTATTGTTCTATAATAGTGTGGCTGAATGTTTTTTAAAATCACATAATGTTACTATTTATATATATTATACAAACATTTTTCAAATACTTTATTTTGTATACTATAGACTTATTATTTTATATACACTATATACTTTATTCTTTATACCATATTGTTATTTATACTTAATATATACTCGTACATACATAAGCTCTTATTATCGATCTGTGTGGGTAACTCCTCATTTAATATCGGATTCATGCTTACAAAACAACAAAGGTATGGTAATTCCTATAATATTAGTGATGTTGAAAAGTAATCGATTAGATTTGTTTTTCGTTCTAAATTCATATATGGTTACTATTTATATACACATAAACATTTTATATAAATACAAATTACACTTAATACATACATACACATGCAACGATTGCTTGATCAAGAGGATTACCACTAATGTGTTATCTAATATTTATCTACAAAACTACATAAAATTGTTAAGTTCCGACCTTACTACTTTATTTTCAAGTACCTACCGAAATTTAAAGTCTTATTGTGAGTCTAAATTACAGCTTATCATTATAAACAGTAAAGTATTTCGGAACACATTATTTTTGTTTGTTTATGATTCATTTTCACTTTAATTGTTCTTTGTTTTAATAGCCGTTTATAATAATCTAAAAAAGGGTTTAAGCCTGTACTACCAAAATGTTCGTGGTTTACGGACGAAATGTAATGAACTATATAACAATATCTTATCTCAAGACTATGATATAATCTTATTGACCGAAACCTGGTTAAAAAGTGATATTTATAATAACGAACTATGTGATCTTAGATATGATGTTTTTCGAAGTGATCGTAATTATTTATTGTCAGGGAAAAAGGTCGGTGGCGGAGTGTTAGTCTGCATACGTCGCGAATTGAGTGCATGTCTATGCGGCCAATGGTCCAGTGCACCTACAACGCATGAGTCGGTGTGCGTGACTTTACCTGCACGTACGCTTGGGTCCTCAGTCGATCTACATATAGCTATAGCGTACATTCCACCTGACTCGAACGTAATACAGAGTGGATTGAATGATATTAAGCATAACTTATCGCATTGCATTGAAAATTATCCCATGGACAATTTTTTACTGGTGGGAGATTTTAACTTACCGTGTTTGAGATGGGACTCCAACAATTGTATTGCACACGTAGACGGTTCATCTTTTATGGATAATTTAGCGATATCTTTCGTTGATGATTTAGGTTACCTCGGTCTTAAGCAATACAATTATAAATGTAACTCAAAAGGTAATATTCTGGATCTATGTTTTTGCAATTTACCATTGGTTGTTAGAGCTTCGTTACCTCTCATAAAGAAAGATATATATCATCCTGCATTAAATATTGAAATACCTGATTTTAGCATACAACCCTTTAAAAAACGTAAACATCCGCGTTTTAACTTTTTCAAATGTGACTATGAGAAGATGAATAATTATTTTAAAAATATTGACTGGCGCTCAGAATTAAATGCCGCCGACACAATTAATGAAGCCGTAGATCTTTTTTTACAGTAAATTACATGAATGTTTCTCCATTTACGTACCCATTAACATGTATTCTAACAACCGACATTTTTATCCTGTATGGTATTCTTCTTCACTAATAAAAATCATTCGCGAAAAATGGCGCGCTCATTGTAATTGGAAAAAATACCGTAACCCAAGAGATTATGATGAATTTTCGTTTTTAAGAGCACGACAACACCGTATTCAACTTAATTGTTTTAACTTTTTTACAAACAATGCTGAACAATATATTAGGTCCAATCCTAAACACTTTTGGAAATATGTCAGTTCGAAAAGGGGCTGTTCCAGTTATCCAAGAAAATTTACACTACGAGGCCAGACATATGACGAGGGTGCAAGTATTTGCTCAGCTTGTAATAAATTTTTTCAAAGTGTTTTTATTACACCTTCATCAAGTAGCCAAACTCAGCCTCGTCAGACATTTGAGTACTCTAGTACGGAATCATTATCCCGCATACATATTACTAGAGAAACAGTTCTTAAATTCCTAAAATCACTTGATAAATCTAAGGGACGGGGTATTCCCCCTATTGTATTGATTTCATGTGCTGATAGCTTGTCATTGCCAATTACTATTTTGTTTTGTCGTTCTCTCGATGAATGTATTTTCCCAGATTTATGGAAAAAAGCAAATATAATTCCCATACA